CAAAAAATACATATTGTATCCGTTATGTATTTCTAAACACGTAAATCGCTTTTGAGTTGAAAATTATACATCTAAAATGCTACACTCTTTCAAAAATTATTGTAATACTAAAATTGAGCATAACCCCATTAACTACAAGGGTGCCCTTTCGTTTACAAGAGAAGAATGATCTGGAACAATTTTATTAGACATCTCAAAAGAATCGACTAAAAAAGCTTTTCTTTTCTTCATCTTGTTTAATTTTTCGTAAAAAGATGCGATCGATATCTTTAAAAACATTTTTACTAGACTGAGATGCATTAACATAGTAATGAATTCCTTGCAAAGCATAATAATCAATTAATGGTTGGGTTTGTGTATGATATACCGCTAACCGTTTCTTCAATGCATCTACATTGTCATCAGATCTTCTAATTAATGGCTCCCCAGTGATCTATTAAGAATAAATACTGTTACTTATTTAACTCTACTCAACAACCATTGTTACTTATTAAATTAATCGGATTTAAAAAAGTTTCATTACTCACGTCATCTTTCATAGGAACTTTGGGAGGAGCAAATTCTTCATGATATGATCTACCGCTTGCAGGATGTATCAGACGACCTGTGATTCTCTTTATCAATAAGTTATCAGCAATTCCGAACTCTATTACAGCATCCAGCTTAGTTTTTCTCTTCTTTAGCATATCATCAAGCTATTTAAAAATTTATTTAAATACTACTTTAATGTTTTCTTTCTCAATGTCATGTCAAGGTCAAGTGGTCTACTTAAGTTAAATAATTATATAATAACAATTCTAACTAAGTTCATTTAAATATTGCTATAAGATTGATTAAGCTGTTCATTATACATACAGCAAAAATCAGTTTCTGCAAAATGCTATAATAACAAAGTTTTTTCATAAACTTACTTTTTCTGCTTGAGGAATGCTTCTGGGAAAGCCATCCAATAGGAAACCCTGTTTGCATTCTGGTTTGTCCAAATTATGATCGATCAAGTTAACTACAAGGTCATCACTAACCAATTTACCTTCATCTATTACCTTTTGGATTTCCCTACCAAGAGCTGACCCAGATTGTGTCTCTGCTCTAAGCATATCACCTGTGGAAAGGTGACATACACAATATCGTTGCTTGAATAGCGGAGCCTGAAAAATGATCAAATACCTTTAAAAAGTATGCAGAAGAATTTAGGTAGAAAAGATTTCTAAGTATGTGAAGAATAATTATATATAATATATATTTAAAAGGAAAAAAAGTTTACTTGCGTCCCCTTTCCACTACCAGGTGGCCCCAATAAAACCGCCTTAATTCCTCTATGAGGTACTTCTTGCGGCAGTTCTGAAGCTTCTTTTACTACTGTTTCTGTTCGCGGTGCCATTTTATATCTGTCGGATTTTCTTTTAATGAAAATATGAAATATAGAAAGAGAGAGCGCGAATTAGAAACTTAGAGAGTGCTTATATCAAAGTTCACTATCAAGAGTACATATCACTGTTACGAGCAATGTGATTATCGAGCACCATTAATTCTCTTCAACTCTTATGCCTATGCTATGCGCTATGCTGTGCTATGCTCATATGCTATGTATGTAATAATTGGTAATAATGTAATCGCGCAACGCAGTGCTACAGAGTATGTAGTATTTAACCAGATGCGAAACTCATATCACAGCATTTGACTTAACCTTTGTGTTTTCCACTCCCTACGTAGAGATCTTGGGCACAGCTTAGAGCCAGTGTTGCCACTTCTTGATAAATCAACATTACAATCATGCCTCACCATAGTAAGCAATTCTACTTCGCTATAGTACAGTAGTACCTCACTGTAGTAGGCCAAGCGGGGGCAACCGGCCAAGAATTATGAAGCAGGTAAAGAAATCTGATTGGTCGATGCTTCACAACTAAACCACTTTTCGCCTAGTAGGATTCTTGACCACACAGTCCAGCGTATTTACGAACGTTTTGAAACGGTGACCATTTCTGCAATTATTTTATTAACTTAGCCATCCCAGTGTACTTGTAAACTGTGACGGGCAGCAATCATTTTTAATTTGATCATCAACGTCAATTTAAATTTCAATTTGAATCACGGTTACAATTTTAATTTCATCTTGAATTTCAAATTCAACTCCTATTTCAATTTCAGTTTCAATTTCAATTTCAATTGCCAGGAATTCATTGTCGGTATATTTTGAGGTGTCGATATCATGCTGGCATTAGCTGAACCGTTATTAGTATTGAAGTGGAAGGTTAACTTCGGAGATCTCTCCGAAATCACAACACCGATCGGTGTTCGCCGACTTCCGTGAGTTGGTCGAGCGAAGCGGCCAAATTCGAAAGGAGACTTGTAACTTTCGGCTATGGCATCGATAAAATGGCACGCTCGCTGGGCGCAAAGCAGATACTGACGACCATCCACAATATTACGATTACGCCTACAATTACGATTACGATTTCGAACTCGGCCACAAATACAATCCACGATTATGATTTACGATAACGAATTATAAAATAACGAACATGGCTTACGATTACGGTTTACGATTCGAGCGTGCCATTACGGAAATTATTGTTGTACTATTTTTTGGAAATGTATTTTGTGTGCCTGATTGTTTATCGTAGTAGTTACCGGTATTCGTAATTTCAATTTCAATTGGAATTTAGAATTCACCTTCAACTTTAAATTCAATTGCAATCCTAGTTCCAATTATAATTTCAATTACAGTTACAATTTTAATTTCGGTTTCAATTTCAATTTCTATTCCAACTTCAATTTCAATTTCAATTTCAATTTCAATTTCAATTTCTATTCCGACTTCAATTTCAATTTCCATTTCGATCTAAATCTAAATCCAAATCCAAATCTAAATCTAAGTTTGAAATCTAAATCTAAATCTAAGTCTGAAATCTAAATCTAAATCTAAATCTAAATCTAAATCTAAATCTAAGTCTAAGTCTAAGTCTAAAATCTAAATCTAAGTCTGAAATCGGAATCAGAGTAGGAATCGGAATCAGAATTGATACCGGTATCAGGAATACCGGTAATAGCAACGGTAAACAGTGAGGCACACAAAATAAAATACAACCGTAATCGTAAGCCGTGTTCGTTATCTTATAATTTGGTATCGTAAATTGTAATCGTGGATCATATTTGTAGCCGCGTTCGTAGTCGTAATCGTATTTATAATTCTAGGCGTAAAGGTAATATTGTGGATGGTCGTCGCGATCTGCTTCGCGTCCAGCGAGCAATTTATTTTATCGATGCGCTAGCCGAACGTTACCAGTCTCCTTTCGAATTTGACCGCTTCGCACGACTAGCGTCTGACACCCGAAAGGTGTTCTAGCAACGCCGCGATGTTTAAATAAATACAACGCGGTGTTCACGTACGCACGCACACTTACGTCGCGCATGGTTACTCACGAAAGTGGACGAACGCGATCGGTGTTGGGACTTCTCGGAGGTCTTTCCGAAATCGTTTACCTGCGGTTCCAACACTAATATCGGTTTAGCTAATATCAATATGATATCGACATATATGTACGTATATTAAAGCAGCAGCTATATAGAAATGTTAAATAAAACTTTGTTTAATATTATTTTATGTATTATTCGCCTTCTGTTATCATACGGTAATTTTTTTAACATTTTTATATTTTCATGACGATAGCATTAAACAATATTTATTTGATCTATTTTATTTATTTTATTTAACGCGAAAGGTATTTATTTAATATGTAAAAAATTTTATAATAATATGGGAGACTTACAGTAATTCATTCACGATAAGACTTTATCGTGACAATCGAAGGCAACCGATTTAAAGGTTATCGGCCGATAAGCGCTACGAACAAAAAGCTGAGATTAATACGCTACCGGTCGGTAAGCGTTGAACACAAGAAGCCGATTAATAGGCAATCGGTCGGTAAGGCGTTAAGTTTCCCTAGTGCGTGCATGCGAGCGTCTTAATTAATAATTGTCTGCCTTGTAAGTTAAGTAGTATTAAGATCGCTCATGAATTGCTTCCGAATCACGGGAGTGCCCGCGGAGGGTACGGAGTATGATTTAGGGAAGTTATAAGTGTCAATCCCTAAACCCATGACTTCGTCTCGCTATGTCGGTAAGTGTGACCTCTACCTAGCCCCATAAGCATCATTCCGCTTACTTGATTGGCACTGTACGAACCTTGTAAAGAGGATCAAGATTTTGTTTCAATAGACGGCACTGATGCTGGTTTTGTGGCAGGTGTATGTAATTAATGTTTTCTATTTTATCGACAATATTTAAATATCGATTAAGTCTTTTACGACATTTATTTGTATCATTCGACAGTGGATGGTACAATGCAGTGCGCGAATGTCAGACTTTGGACAACAAAAATCATTCACGTTTTGGTCGTCATCAATTTTTATCGTACTTTCTAAAACTTATCTTACCAAATATCTGCATAATACTCATAAAGTCTGACATTCGCTTACTTCCCATGATACCAACAGATATCGAATAGGGTGCTGATTTAAGGAAGTTAAGTATCAACCCCTAATCCCATATTATCGTTCCAGTATGTCGGTAACTGTGACCACTACCGTTATCTCCCTGCTAAGGTGGCTAGCCTCGTAAGCATCTTTCCGCTAAAGTGATTAGCGCTGCACATGGCAATGAGCATCAAGATTTTGCTTCAAGCGACGCCACTAATGCTGGTTCTGAGGCAGATGAAGGTAATTAATGTTTTCTATTTTATCGACAATTTTTAAATATCGATTCAGTTCGAATATTTTAGAACTTCAAAACTTTAGAGCTTTTTAGAACTGTCTTCAAAAACTTTTAGAACTGTTTTCAGAACTTCTTATCACTATCTTTAGAACAGTTTTTAGAACTTTTCAGAACTGTTTTTAGATTATAGATAGATAAATATTGTTGATAAAATAGAAAACATTTATTACCTACATCTGCCACAAAACCAGCATCAATGCCGTCGCTTGAATCAAAATCTTGATTCTCTTTATCGACATAGCGATACGAAATCATTGATTTAAGGATTGACACTTAACTTCCTTAAATTAGCACGCTATTCGATATTTATTAGTATTATTCGAAGTGCGCGAACGTCATACTTCATGAAAGGGGATCCTATTTCCCGTACCCTCCGCGGGCGCTCCCGTGATTCGGAAGATCCTGAGCGATCTCAATACATACTACTTAACTAACAAGGCAGACAATTATTAATTAAGATGCTCGCATGCACGCACTAGGGAAACTTAACGCCTTACCGACCGATTGCCTATTAATCGGCTTCTTGTGTTCAACGCTTACCGACCGGTAGCGTATTAATCTCAGCTTTTTGTTCG